ATTAATTGCATAACTGACATATTATGGCATGCAATACATGGCCATTTCTTCCAATGCTTCCTTATCGAAAAAAAGGAGCTCCGTTGGCGTCTCCGTCTGCATCGCCGCCAAATAGGGCTGATAGTACCAGATAGCATCCCTGCTCAAGCGCCATGAGCCAGCCCTCAATTCCAGTAACAATAACAGCAACAACCTGATTTTTGGGTTGTGATTCAATTCCAAGAACATCATCGTAAATATTCCGAATATGGAATCTAATTCCTTCTCATATTTCCACTCTATAGCCTCTCCCCGCATGATTAGATTCTTAATTAGCATCATTATGTCATTTATTAATCTGGGTTCATCCCATTTCTTTAGCATGTGGGGCCACAACTCTCTCATCATGGTCACCATAAAAGCGTCCGAATAAATTTCATCACCTGATCCACTCTTCTTCTGCAGACGAGGTGTCGTCATATTCGTGTGGTAGTTCATTTTTTACACACAATCCAATATTTATTTTATAATCAAATATAATTTTATATTTATTTTGTTTTAATTGAAAGAATGTCAATCGCAAACAAATGAATTTATGGGTTCTGAAGTTCGTACAAACAGCCCTCTCGATTTACCAACATAATTATAAATAAAAAAAAAATTAAATTAATATCAGACAGTAAGTTCAAATATTAAATATGTTTGGTGCGAGTTTCCTTTCAACATATAATTTATTTTTCATATAAAATACTAGTTGCACCTGTCTAAAAATAAAGTAATACTACTCGTTCATATAAAATCCGGGACAGGGCAGAAAATATTTATGTTAAATGACTTAATATGATTTAAAATAACAATTATTATTTAAAGATACAATAAAAACGGTTTTCACTTGAATCAAGATAGATCTTATCTGTTCTGTGTAGTTGAGGTCCACACTTAAATAAAATAAATTTTCATAACACGAAATAAATAAAATGAAACTATTGATTACTGTTTACGTCCACACTTAAATAAAATACATTTGTAAATTTTTAAATAAAATGTTTATGTAATTCAGCAGTAACTTGCAAACATATTGCCCCTTGGTAATCTTCAAACATACTTGCAATTGAATATTTAAATATATTTTTAGAAATTACTGCTATAATCTACAAAAAAACTTAATACATCATAAATTAAACTAGTGGTGCATGGCATCGTGCCTTAAGGCAAATTGCTGGAAATTATAAGAGCTTAATTATCATGCAAAAAAATTATTAGAGCGGTGATTTTGTCGTTTTTTAAATATTTTTTTTTCAGTTTTTTGCCATTTGATACCCAATTTAGACCTTATTGTTAGATTCGTTTTCATTAGAATTTTTTTTGTGGTCATGTGCTTTTTTTCAGTAAAAACGAAAATACTATTATTGAAATAAGCAATTAAACATTTTATCTAAATGGCTAAATCTCAATTCAAGTTGATAATGTACGTATCGGAAAGATCATGCAACTTGCCATAAGACAAAATGCCACTAACACCTAGTCAGTATAGACTTAGTCCATTTATATTTGCTTTAAACGTAAAACTATTATAGTTATTTGAATCGTTAAAACCGTTCTGATATCTACTGTTCAACTTTCCATCCATAGATAAAAGAAGAGTATGTTTCCATCTTTGCTTAGCTGAGAAAGACACCAAGTAAATTCTAAAATAACGTTAATTTTTAAAATTGCACAAACTTATTAAAACTAATTCACTATAAGATTATTTTTTTTAATTTTAGGCTCTGCATCTTTTAAATGGCTGGACCTGCCTTTGCCAAAAACTAATCAGCATATCTCCCTATCGGAATCGGAATCGAATGTTTTTTGAACCATTCAAATCGGTTGATCCGTGCGCCCGAAAACGTTAACGAAAAAATGCGGACACACAAAACACACACACATCTATTTTTTCTGAAGTATCCAAAAATGTAGAGAAACCTCTGAAATATGAAGATATGCAAAAATTTTCATTTTCTATTTTCGGCCCATCACTATAATTTACTCTACAAAAAATTAATAATAAATAATCATTATAAATAACTGTGCAATACAGAAAAAAATATGTTGTATACGGTAGAACAATGTGCCATTTTCTCTTCAAGCGCTTTAGTTTTTCGACTGACTGGACTATTTGCATTTCAGGATTGACGTGTGCATCCAATTTATCTTGAGAAATTAAAATTAGGCTTCTGTTCTTAATGACTTCCTCTACTGTAGGAATTTTTAGGTCCTTGTGGATCATGTAATTGGTCATGAACCACGAAGGGCAGCAGATCATACTCAGTATTTTGCTTCGGGCTCTCTGAATTTTAAAAATTTTGCTCTTGCTGGCACAGCCCCATAGCTCTATCCCATATGTCCATATTGAAATTAGCTTCGCTTCGTATAATAAAAGCTTATTTTCTAGAGAGAGTTTTAACAACCTTCCTATTAGCCAGTTCAGTTCCTTCTATTTTAAAACTATTTGTTTCTTTTGCATTATTATGTGCATTTTCCAGTTTAGTTTACTATCTATATGCATTCCTAGGTATTTTACGGATTTGTGATTGGGAATAACTATATTATTCAAGTAAAAGGCAAGCCTTGTGTGGCTTCTTAATGAAATGATAAGATGTTGTGGTTTGTTAACAATTGTTTTGAAGTTTTATTTTTCTAGCCATAATTGTATTTCAGATAGAAAATATTGAAGTAAAAAAGTATAGCTGCTATCACAACCTTATGATTTGAATAATGTCAATGTCATCAGCTAATTGTTAAGGCCAAACCAAGTAGCATATCATTCGTGAATAGCAGATATAATATTGGACTCAGAACACTGCAAGACAAATTTTAAATTTTTTGTTAGCAAGTCGTTAACTTAGAAAACCTTTTGCTTACTTACTACATATTCTTTCTTCAAATAGATGTGACATCAGACAAATTAAACAAAAAAACTAAATGCATTAATAATTAACTAATTAATTAGTTCTACTTAGCAAAACAAAAATTGAACAAAAAGTTTCTGAATTTTCAATTAAAATGCATGTAAGTAAATGCATAATATATTAATACATTGCATTTACTTACGTGCATTTTAATTGAAAGTTCAAAAACTTTTTGTTCAATTTTCGTTTCGCTAAGTAGAACTTCAAGAATGATTCTAAACCAATAGTTCAAGTTTATCTAAAATCTCATATAATTTAATATTATTGCAGATAAAATTTTGCAACTAGCGTACTTTCAAATATTTTCCAATGCATCGGTTAGTTCCTATCTGGCTTCAATCAATATCCATTTTACAATATCTATAGTAAAAAATAAACTATAGTTTAGAATAGACAAAAATGCTGCTTATTAATCTTCATATTTGAAAAAAATACCAACCAACAACGTATGATTATACCCTCCCTGTAACATACCACAAACCAAAATGTATTAAAGTCGTTATCATCGAGTGGTACCCTATGGGTAACATTGAGTGGTGGTGCCCCATTGGTAACACTAAGTGGTTCCCCGGAGAAAGAGCAAAAAGCAGATTCTAAGTAGTTCACCATCAGTCAGGCAGTCTCCATTCCTTCTCAATCAGATTCAATTCATTATTTAATATCTGTTCTGTCCTAATTTTATAATTATAGTCCAAATAAACGTTAAATTTGTAAAGTGTGTTTATATTGATTATATCACTGATGCAACTGGCAAATCTGTAGAATCCATTAGACTTCTGTTCAAAGACAAGTATTATCTGTAAAAATAAATCGAAAAGCTTGAGTGATGTAACAATAAATAAGTAAATATCCACATAAATTTACCTGTTGAGAAAAAATGTCAATTTCCGAAACAACTGAATTTATCACTATCCTGCTAATGTGTTAATAAAATATAAATTGAATCACTTTTCCCAACCACATAATAATAATACATAAATGTAATAATATTTTAGATAGTAAAAGATAATTATAAACAAAATAGTTTTTGTATTATGCATCTATTCAGTTATTAAAGAAAAATTAATAAAAATAATAATGTAAGTCTTTCATCCTCTTTGTCAGTGGATTAAACACACAACTTATTTAAAAATATATAAAATCCACAAAAAATGAACAAAAGACTTGGTTAATGGTCTAAGAAGATATTAAAAAATTAAACAAAAGTTAAATAAAACTTATTCATGAGTATGGAAAGTAATGTGAAAGTTGTTAAAAAGCCTATTACATTTGTTTAAATATTACATTTTTAGTTTTTCCTTTTTAATAATTGGATAGATGCCTGTTAAAAAATCTTTTCTGTTCATTAATAGAAGAAATATACACAGATATAAGAAAGGTATTTTATTTAAAGTCAGTAATAAGTTACTTATATAAATATTAGTTACATATAGTGGAATAAATATTATAATAAAATACACACAACAATAAATGAATAAAAAAGGTGAAATAAATAAGTTAGTAGTGAAAGCCAATTAATTGAGAAAGAAATAAAGTCAATGCATAAATACAAAAAAACTTATTTCGAGTAATGTTAAAACATTTAGAACCAATAATTATAAAAGATATTAGTAAATAAATGATTTCTCATATTAGAAGGTTTGAGAAAGTTTAAGTGACTAAATCTATGCATGCCAGATATAAGAAGATAGTAAAAAAGTGTCTGCAATCAAAATTTTTGTAAATAACTGAATTAAGCTCTTTTGATAAAATATAATAAAACATTATCATTTGATTGCAAACAATAAAAATAATTAAATGAACACATTTGAGTTAAATTACTTTTTTAATTATAAATTAAAAAGCTTTTATATAAATCAGTATTAATTTGGAGTAAATCGTTTATGGTAATATAGTACTGTAGCTGCGGTAATATAGTTGAAAGAATGGCAGCAGGTTAACAGCATAGAGAGAACCCAGAAGTGTTTTAAAACAAAGTCACAATGTGTTAAGAAATAGATATGCAGAAGTTACTCGAGAATTCAGTCCCAAATAGTAATTACTACTAACATTGGCCTTCTTCGGCAAATCTTACTGGATACTAACTCCAACTCTCTTCTGTCCTTCTATCTCACTTTGCATAACTCCCTTCATTGTATCCTTATCAACTCCAACATTTTCCTTAAAACTTTCTTTGGAATCTGCGCCAAATCCTAAAATATCATTCACAATATCGGCACAATTGGGATTATCCAACATTGTTCTGTGATTGCCTTCGACTACTTTAATTTCCATTTCTTGAATCAGAAATTCGTCCATATCATAATTCTCTGCGGCATCTCGCATAGAAAGAACAGTTGGCTTAACTAAAGTTACACGAGATTTGATTTTTTGTTCTCGCAAACGTGATGTGTCGTTGTATTTGGCTGATCGGCATCTCACCTGGTAAAAGAAAAAATAAATAAATTCTAGTATGTATTTATTGACCTCAGCATTTTAAACTGTTATTAGTAATTGATCATCAATACTATTACTTATTAAACTTACCAACATGGCTTCACACAGCTGCCTAACATAAGTCTTAGAATATTTGCTTCTCTGCTCATCGTTCGCTTCAATGGAATCTGTCATTGCAACTACCCGCTCTTCCCAAGTTTTAGTTTTAATCAACGTTTCCTGAATGACATCCATGTTACCAGGTGAAAGAATTCTACGAATTGTAAGCAACACCTAAAAATAATTTTATTAAACATTTGTTAAGTCCAATAGATATATTATTTTGTTACCTGAATCTGCAAATATGTATCATCATCAGCTGTACCACCAACAACATGCACATCTACCAATCCTTTCATTACTGCAGGAGCACCGTCCAAAAGAACTAAGTTGACATTTATGCCACGAGCTTCTAATTCTAGCATGGCTTCTAAAATTGGAAGTGTGCCGAAGGAATAGGCTACTATGTTGAGCGGTTGGTTAAGATCCTGCAAACAAATGATATGATAACGCCAATTTTAACTGTTAGAGTTCATAATGTAACTAGCTGTAAGTGGAATTCTGTCTTGAGGCAATTATGGCATCGTGCCTTAAGGCAAATTGCTGGAACTTCCCGTACCGTAACGAAATGTTCTAGGAATACTGAATGTTTTCAAATAGATTATTAAAAATATTGTCATTGTCTAATATTTATAAGAATTATATAAACTGAATTGCAGAGTTGAAATTATTTGTAAAGTATATTAGAACTATAGTCAGAATTAAAAATAAAATCTGAAATATTTTCGATATACAAAAAACTAAAAAAAAAAAAAAAAGTTGGAACACAATTTATTTTTCAAAAATCAATTATTTTGTTAAGACAAGCAGAAAGTTCTTTGAATCATTTAAATCGGACGCTTAGTTCTCTCAAAAACTGCAATTTTTTACATATTTAGCTCCGTATCTTCGTAATGGCTGGGCCTGCCTTGGCCAAAAACTAATAAACACTTCTCCCAATCATTACTAATTGAATGTTTTTAGATGATTCAAATCGGATACTCCGTTCTCTCAAAAATTCGATTTCTATTTTCGGCACTCTTTGCTCCGTATCTCCGAAACGGCTGGACCTGCCTTTGCCAAAAACTAATCAGCTCTTTTCCCTATCAATAGGAATCGAATGTTTTATAAACCATTCAAATCGGTTGATCCGTGCGCCCTAAAACGTGACTGGAAATTTGTATCCATACATACATACACACACACATACACACACACACACACATCCATTTTTTCTGAGGTATGCCCCTTAAAATGTTCAGAAACCTTCAAAACGTCGAGAAATGTAAAAATTTTCAATTCCGATTTTCGGCCCGGGAAGTTAAAAAATAAGATTTTCACTTGCCTTATGTAAGTCCAACATATAAGGCAACAGCGCTTGTCCCATCTCTCTGATATTGTTTCCTTTCTGAGGAACTGTTAATTGTAAACATTCTACTCTTGCCTTCAATCTACTAGCAAGAGCTCTGAAGACAGATGCAGCTCCTTCAATCCCTGGCACTATGAACACGAGAGGCTTCTCGGATTCACACTGACTTGTCAGATGAACCACGGGCATACTGGCTACTTCTTCAGAAGTCACACCTTCCATGAGAAGGAGCAATCCGCGCATAGGATCCACCTCGGCGGGATTTGCAGCTTGAGTTTCTATCATATAATTTATGTCCAAGTCAATAAAAATGGTTTATATACTAATTGCATTAGCTATTGACACACTGTATTTACCTCCTTCAGCAGCTTGTTCTGAAGATATATCTCTAGCAGTAGCTAATTCTTGCAACCGGGCAAAAGTTAGAGATCTAATATCTTGTGGTGTTAGGAAAACTTCAAATTCTCGTTCTAAGGCTTGTTTGATTTCTACGGCCATCAAAGAATCCATACCCAATTCAGCCAATGAGGAATGAGGACTTACGGTTTTTAAATCTCTTAAACCTAAAAAATAGCATGAAGTGTGAATGTAAGATTTAAATAGTGCATAAGCTTATAGTAACTTATTTATTTCTTATATTAATCTGACTTAAATTACGTCTTTAGCATCTTGCTCAAATTCTTACCAAGGATATTAAGAACGGTTGGCACAATGCCACCAGCACCACCTGCTCCAGTAGCTCGTTTTTCAGCTACAACCATAGAGGCTACGACAGGATAAGACTGAGCTAATAGAATATCCATCGCTTCTAAACAGCTCCCAATCCTTTGTTGCAATGTTCCTCCAATCTCCAATTCTTTATGGTCATCCTAAACATTAGGAATTAAATGTGATAATTAGATAAAAAATAATCGGTTGGATCAAAAGCCATAACGATTGTTATAGTTAATCAATAAAGTAGCAAACATTTTATTGTCACATCCTGTAGACAAAGTTCATATAAAAATTCACCTAGTTCTGTCTTTTCAAGTTAAAACACCATTTGATTTTAGTCCAGTCATTTGGTGCAAAAAAAGGCTGTTGCCGGTACAGTACTCCGGGAATTGTGAAAATTGGTAATCTCATAGATTTCGAGGTGCTCTTTACGAAAATCAACTTTGCCACCTCAAATTTGAACGGCAAGTTGCCGCCATATTGGAAAAATGGCATCAAACAACAGCTTTTTTTAAATATCTCTTTTCAGGCTGATTTTGCGATAAAAGTATCTATGTGCGAATTAGACTAGATAAAATTTCCTATAATTCCTTAGAAAACCGTTTTTTTGTAAAATTGATAGTTTGAGAGTACGGACGCCTCAAAGTCTTTGCTGCTCTCGCCGTAGTATCAAATCTCTCCATATATGACAGCACTTCGAACTTAACCACATTCTCTCTAATAATTAATATTTTCAATGTTAAACTGAGCGAATAAGATCTAGAAATAAAATAATTCAAATATTTTTCGGTTTTTTTGCTAATTTTTTAACACTTCAATGGCAAAGTAGCTATAACAATACTTATAGCTTAAGTAGCACCTTATAGCTTCAAGTAGCTTGAGGCGTTAAAAATCACCAAAAAACAGAAAAATATTTGAATTGATTTATTTCTAGATCTTATTCGCTTAATTTAACATTGAAAATATTTATTTATTAGAAGGAATGTGGTCAAGTTCAAAGTGCTGTCATGTATGGACAGATTTGATACTACGGCGAGAGCAGCAAAGACTTTGAGGCTATCTCAAACTATCAATTTTACAAAAAAACAGTTTTCTAAGGAATTATAGGAAATTTTATCTAGTTTAATTCGCACATAGATACTTTTATCGCAAAATCAGCCTGAAAAGAGATATTTAAAAAAAGCTGTTGTTTGACGCCATTTTTCCAATATGGCGGCAACTTGCCGTTCAAATTTGAGGTGGCAAAGTTGATTTTCGTAAAGAGCACCTCGAAATCTATGAGATTACCAATTTTCACAATTCCCGGAGTACTGTACCGGCAACAGCCTTTTTTTGCACCAAATGACTGGACTAATGTGGCATACCCTATTAAATATTGTGATATTTTACCTGCATGTCAGCAACCAATCCAACTTCACCGACAGCTCCCCATTGTATAGCTAAAGCTGGAAATCCTGCCTTGTGACGATTTTCGCAAATTCGTTCCATCACTGAATTAGACATACCGTAGTTGCACTGACCAGCATTACCTCTACCACAAGAAACCTGTAATAAAATTGAACCTAATTAATCAACTTCATTTAAACTTTCGATCAATCAATCAATTTAAAATACACACGCGACTTTACGTAGTCTGTAATAAAAAATTTAATATGATTTACAATGAAAATTTTAAACTATATTCCCGATAAAAATAAATTTAGAAAAAAGCCGAAAATTATTTTAGAATTTGGAACGTAGCAAAACAGATTTGGAAACAAAACTTGTGGAAAATCACACACCTACTTGATATTTATATATCAAGCTGATTTTATTGAGCAAACCATGCTTTTCAACTAATGTGATCTAAAAATCTGAATTTGTAAAACTGAGCATCGTTTATATTTTTCATATAAAAATGTACCTACACTAATTAACAAATTTAATATTAGTGCTTATTTAAGATTTGCAGATTTTTTACAAAATAATTTAATAAAATAAAAAATAAACATAATAATTATTATTTTTAAAAATAAAAAATGTTATTGTTAATTTATTACTTAAGGGGGTATTCTACTGTAGAATTTTGAAAAAATCCAAAAATTTTTTTTTTCATATTTTCAAAGTTTAGTTATTCAAAAATATGTCATTAAAAGGATTTTCCAAAATTACTATTATTTCCTGAGTTATAGCCGTTTTCGTGACGTGGCCTCGGTTCGGGTCCGACTTGTCTCAAAACTTTGAACGCGTTTTTCTCGGAACTACTTTTTTCGAGGTAAGGATATCTCGAATTCTAATGAACCGATTTACTTCAAATTTGGAGAAAATTTTCCCTATACATCGCTTTATCGTATGGACCTTGCCAAAGCTATAACTTTTCATTTAGTATTTTTAAAAAACTCGGAATTGTTAAAAAACACGAAAAAAAAAATTTTTTTTTCAAACTGCCGTCATTCAAACAAAATTTTTTTTTTAAACTTATCCAAGGTTCATACGATAGCGGCATCTATTATAATTAAAAATCCATCTATTTTTTATGTTTCAAATCACCAGGAGGGTTGGAATCATGTACGCCAGGGCACCCTCTTTTTTTGGAAACCCCCACTTTGACTGCTCATAACTTTGTGAATTTTATTTTTTTTCTTTTAATATTTATTTTATGTAATAATAAAATATCAATAAACAAATGATAAAAAAATCGATAGTAAAAATATTATTTGTTTCCTTTATACAGCGCTTCAAAAACCGGGCGAAATTCATGACTCTACAGTAGAATACCTCCTTAAAAACTTCATATGGTTCATTTTTAAACTCACTGATGAAAAGACGACGAAATATTTCAATAACGGACACAATTCCCTTGTAAGTTCATCCAAATGTTTTGTAGCTACAGCTTTCGGCGCAAATGATGCTGTAAATTTCTCAACATTTTGATTTTCCAAAATAGCATCTTCAAGAACTACTGCTAAATTGAAAATGCCTGTAAACAATATAAAGATTTAATATGAATAACAGGCAGTTCTCCCTATATGAAGATATATTAGTATTAAGATAGCAAATCAAATATTTGTCTTATTGTTAATATGGTAAAAGTAGTATTTTAAGATAAAATTTACCTGCAACTGGTGCAATGGACGAGGCCATATGCAAAAGTTCATAACAGCCTTTTCGTGTAGTGATATCAGCTGTGCATATATCAACAGAAATACCATAACTGCGCCATACTCTAACCCTAGAAGCCTATAATCAACAGTACATTTTTAGAACCTCAATTGCACATTGGAATTATAAATTGTAGGTTACTCTACCTGGTATCCTGATTTAAGTCCTTTCCGAGAACTCAAAACCAGATGTCTGGCACCTCTAAGAGCAAGCCAATCAGCCAATTCTAAACCAAAACCTCCAAGACCTCCAGCAATCACATAACTCTTGTCAGGTTCACAATAAACTCTTGGACTTGCCAGCCATTGTTTATTTTCAGGCACAAAATCTTCTTCTGGTTCTTCCTCACGCATTTTCAACAGAACCTAAATAATTTTAGTTTATATAGTATAAGTCACTGATTGTGCTTGAAAACTTAAAAAATTAAAACCGAGATATCATGCTGCAATAAAAAATTGGTACTGCTTGTGGAATTAGAGATAGAATTTCAAAGGTAATCTCTTAAAAAATGCACTATGCTTACGAGCAATGTGCTTTGCGTTATTGATGATAGTTAATAAAGTACTGAATTTACAGTATACTATACAAAGAATTTTAAAAAGTGGGTTAAAAAGCATGTATAACAAAAATTGGATCTATAACTCTCTTGAAAAGAAAACAGCATTAATGTGCATAATTCTGAGAGGAAAAGAAATTGGATTGGACTCAATACAAAACTACAAAATTCTATATGATTGCGTAATAGTAATCACACTTAACCATATCAGTAGTCATCACTTTTTATTTATTATTTTAAAAAATTGTGCAGGTTTTTGCATTATGAAGAACATTTTATGCAAAGCCTGACCAATATTTAATAATGTATAAGTCCAATGACTATAATTGTACAATTTGCTTTATACTCAAATAAAAATTTAACCTTTCCAATATGTTTTCCTGCTGCCATATAACGGAAAGCTTGCTCAACATCATCTCTATCAAATACTGTTCTTGACAAAGGTCGCACAGCTCCTGTTGCAATACCATCATTCACCATTTTTCCTGCAAAAAAAAATTATAATAATTTTTTAATATTAATTTTAGCATCAAAATACATCAAATTTTTACTGTATTACCTATTCTGTGTTTCTCCCAAGCCTCAGCAGTAAACAAATGCTCCAAGGTAACTCCATGGAAAGAACTGCAATTCATAAATGTTCCTAGACCCAATGGGTTATCGCTTGCCAAATCAAATTTACCGATTTCCAAAAATCTTCCATGGGGAGCTAAGCATCTCAAAGAAGCCAGAAGTTTATCTTCAGCCAAGGAGTTCAAAACAATGTCAACTCCGCGACCGCCAGTTCTTCTCATGACAAGTTGTTCAAAACTGGTGTCACGGGAATTGCCAATGTCTTGATCTGAAAGGAATTATTATTTAAAAGATATCTTAATACAAAATACATCAGAAGAAAGAAACAAGTAAAAACGTATTACATAGACATTATAAAAAAAAACTACAATTCTTGAAAATGGCAAAATAAAGCATAAAGCTATAATATTACAGTGCATATAATTTCCTATTGCCAAAATATACATTACCATCTAATTCAGGGAACCTATCCAACAAGAACTGTCTCTTTTCCTCAGTTCCAACAGTAGTGATAATTTTACATCCAGCATGGAGACCAATGTTGATAGCAGCTTGACCTACACCACCACTTCCTGCATGAATTAACAAGGTTTGACCAGCAGTCATGTTTCCAGCTAATACTAAAGCATAGTAAGCTGTTGCATATACTACTGGGACAGTAGCTGCATCCTAGAAATGAATAATCCTTACGGTAATTGTGGTTGCATTTATTTGGCTGTATTAATTAACATTGTTTTCGTAATTTTGGAGAAATTAATACTGATAATGTTTTTAATTTACCTGTAAAGTCCAATGAGATGGAATGCCCCAGCATAGAATTGGATCAACATCCAGAATTGTGGCCAAAGCACCGCTTCCAACCAAACCCATAACTCTGCGGCCTTCGAAATAAAATGATTGTGAAGAAATTATTACGCAACTTTTTACTGTGTTACAAAAATATTAAACTTACCATCGACTTCTCTTCCTGCGTATTCTAAACCTTGTACACACATCTGGTTAAGTCTTCCATGAGAAACTACTTCTGCAGCCAATTTACCAGTTGCTGTCATGATATCTCTGAAGTTCAGGGCTGAATAATAAACATGAACTAAGTTACCGGCGTTGGATTCCGTATCTTCAGTGCCATATCTAAAATAAATAAATATAACATTATTTCAAAATAAGAATATAATTAAAGAAACCAAATTGGCTTACTTCAAAGGTCCTTCAATCCATCTCATACTTGATAAATCTCCTCTAGTCATAACATTGGCATAACTGTGGCCTTTATCAACCAAGGAATCCTTGACTTGCAAATGCCGATAAGATCCCCAGCATCCATCTTTGAAAACATTTGATACTAAATCCAAATCTAATTGTTTACTGTATAGATCTAATTCAAGATCAAATGCTGGTGCTTTTGGATCAATGATTACTAGAGATCGAACTAAATCACCACCTTAAGAAGTAAAGACAAATTAGTAGGTTGCACAAAAAAATAAGCTAGTAAAATATGTACTACAGAAAAAGATTTTATTTTTACCTGGCTCTTTTCTGACACAATTCACCAGTCCCATGATACCATTAGTATTCTGTTTCTCATTTAGCAATAAAATTCTACTATCTGCTATTTTAATTTGAGACTTTAATTCTTCTAACCAGCTAAACTTATCATCACTTTCATCAACTTTAATAACATGCCATGGTTTAGTCTTGTGAATTTTTCTTTGTAACAATAATAATATTTCGTGCGGCAATTTGTAAGATGCTACTAGATTTAATCCTGGACAAATGGCCGAAATCGCAGATGCGTCTAAGGAAAATGATAAATCTTCTCGTGATATAACATAACCATTTGCACGCAGAGTTGGTAATGCCTTTTCAAGGTCCTATAATAATTTATTTATTTAAAACTGGAGTACTCAAATTTAAAAACGATAACTTTTAAAGTTAATTTACCTCTTTCTTATTTAATAGTGCTGTACCAATCAACAATGTACTTTTACCATCTCCTGGTAACTTCTTATCTTCTGACAAGTGAACACCAGCGCCTAAATCTGCGTTTTGTTGTTCTGATGGATTAGCAGTTTCTGTCCAAATTGTCATATCACTTTGCACTAGTGGCAAATCTTCTAAAGCAGACCTTAAGATTGGAGATAAAGGTATTTCCATAGAATTAACTTGCAAGTAATCAATTTCTGGTTGATCGCTGGAATCGCCTTCTTCCTTTTTGGGTACTTTGGGAAGTTTATCGACTAATTCAAATGCTTTGACTTTCAATATTGGAATATTTTCGAGAATCTGTTGCACAATGCATCTAAAAATAATAAATTAAGTGCTCTTATTATATTACATTATTTTTTTTATCTTCACAAGAGTATCTACCTCACTGCATCATCAACACAATCAGTTTGCAAGTGGTTTGGTACAAAAACGTGCTTTTCTAATACTGGTTCACCTGCTGGCTTCTTTCTTGCAATTGCACTAGCTTTTAAACCACAAATTTCAACACCGCCAGCTCTTATAACACCTTGCAAAATAAATCACAATTAATGTGAAAATAATAACTTTGTGAACAAAAAAAGAAAATAATATTTCAATTATGAAAGAATCTTTATTTTTTGCTTACCTATATCTGGATGCAGCTCAACTTTGAAGGTTCTATCCTCTCCAAGAGCATGAATAGCATGGATATGGGCACGTGTATCAATTTTCAATTTTCTGATTGAAGTAGGTACAAACAATCCTCTTGTATCTTCACAAAGAATTTGAAGCTGCATCATGCAGTCCATGAATGTGACCCAATTATGGGCCCATAATATGCGACCATCACAAGTTTGCTGATCGTAAGATACTACACCTTTGAAAGCACCGCTAGAAAGAAATAATTAAATTTATCTAAGTATTTACTACAAAGACAGAAATTCCAAATGAATTGGATTGGATTGAATTTGCCAACACCAAATGATTATATAACTCTTTATACCTGTAATTATATCCCCTCAATCTCAATTCTTTATAAACATCTTTAGCAGCTAATGGAATAGAATCTGGGAAAGTGTCTCTAATAACTCTTTCTGGCAAATCAGGCAACTTGGTTTGCCTAACACCAGGGTGGTAAATTGTACCAGTTACAATGGTAGTTCCACCTTCAAGAACCTAGATAAATGTAAATCAACTATCAATAAAAGTAAAGATGATCAAATTTTATGTAACTTATGGTAAAACTTAAGGTTTTCACGAGAACTATCAAAATCAAATAATGTATCAAAAATCCTTATATTTTAGGTTTGATTTATAACTCACAATTTAACTTATGAATTTGATAAAATATATAGATACAATAATATCGACTTAATATTATTTATTACCTCGAATTTTCCGGTGCCTTTTTGAATCATAATATCAAAATCAATCTTGCCATCTTTAGGAACATTGGTAGCGCGCAAAAATCGAATGTCCTCAAAAATGCAAGGAACTTCTGTTAAGATTTCACCACGCATCATAGCAAATGTTTCCCATACTAAAGTTAAATAACCAGTAGCAGGGAATAAGTTACGTCCATCTATAACGTGACCGGTCAAGTATTCATTTTCTTGATCAAAAGCGGAAATGCAGATTGATCTTTCGCCTGTTTCTAATTTTTCCAAAGTCTTGTAGGAAGTAACATACCTAGCAAAAGTAAAGATAAATAGAAGATTAATTATAATTTTACAGATTTGCTACAGATATCATGAATCTTACCAATCTCGTCCGTGATCCCATCCAATCAAATGGGACAACATGGGTGTGCCTCTACCCACGGGCCACTCATGCCTATACAACTGGTTAATATCTACTTTTTCGCCTAAACAATGCAATTTTCCCATAGTTTCCAAAAATTGTCCAGCTACATCACATTCTTCACCTCTTCTGACATATAAACTTGCATAAGTCAAGCATTCAATCGTTTCTTCTAAAACTCCTTTAAATTGTGGCATGAATGAGTTGATTTCAAAGACGTACGAATTTCCAGGAACTTTGGATAAAGCTTGCTGGAGTAAATTTGGATTGACTAAACTATTCACATGATACAATGCGTTATGAGTTGAGTATTCGTTTTCTGTAGAAGTAGATACCCATCTCTCAGATCTTGCCAACGTTTCAAACATTGTACTCTGGTATGCCCTCAGCAAATCATCAGAAAGTTCTTTCATGAACTCTGAATTATGGAATGGAACAACGGTTTCTTGAGATATGTTGTCGTGTTCGATTCCTTTAGAATCCAAAAATTTGAGGAAGGCTGCTACATCCTTTTTGTGACCACTGACTAATGTTGATTCAGGAGTTAAATGACATGTGACACTGACACCTTCGGTTAAAAGGGATGATACTATAAGACTGGACCGGTGGACAACAGCAGTGTAGAGGGCTGGTAGGCGATATTCAGCTATAATGCGAGATCTAAATATTTAGAAAATATTATATATAATACAAATAAAATGGAATATAGTGTTTAGTCAATCAAAATCAAATCTGTATTTCTAAATAACTATTAACAAATAACTAATCTCAAAAATATTGAAAAAAGTATGTTTATTATAAAAGTCAATTTTATGATATAATTGATTATGAGATAAAATTTCTATAAAACCTAATTTTTTATTCGATGTTATATTTCTAATTCTAAATTAATTATATTTAAGAAGTGCTACCCGAATTGTAAACCATTTACTCTTTGTCCTTTTGAATTAGAATTTTGTTTTCATATTATAAAGAGGATTGTATATATTAAACTTTTAATATATGCAAAATAAACAATGGCTTTACCAGAAAGAGTGTTATTTTGAAAGAAGATCAAGAAATAAAGTATAACTGAATTTATTGAATAAATCAATAGTATTGTATGCAAATTTCTCCACACTTTCAAAGTCAAGTGCAATGCACTTTAAAATTTAAATTTATTTATGTGTGCGTATATATATATATATATATATATACATATATATATATATATATATATTTATATATGTATATATATATTTATTTATATATGTATATATATAAATATAAACTTATCCATGCATAAAAACATGCACACACACATACAAGCAGATACACACACATATATATATGCCTTGAGTTAGGATTACCTTAAAGTATTCGATTTGATGAAATTTTAGTGATATAATAATCAAAGATAAAATATTATAAATTTAGATTCATTATTACCTCAAATAGGCAGCCGTCAAAGTCTGTTCCAGAGTCAAACATTTATCCGTAAAAGCACACAGAATTTCACCAGCTCCTTGTCCAATTATAACAGTAGGCTCAACTTTTAAACTTTTCAAAAGTTGTACAATGCCAATCTGGACAACTGTCGAAGCCACGTGCTTCTCTACAAAATTTCGGGACGCTCCAAAATCTACATCCTCAACCATCTTTAGCAATTGAATACTGAACTTAGCCAAAAATTTATTACTACGTTCTATCACTTCTTGGAATACAGGGAAAACAAGCAAACCTCTAGCCAAAGTAGGGTTATAATCATACCCAGAGAATAGAAAAACAGTTTCTTTTTTGGACACGTTGTCAATCATAGCATCACTTCGCGATATTTCGTAACCACGTTTATCCAAAACTACAAAACCACGATAATCATGCCCTTCAACGCCGTTCTTAAAAGCTGCTTGAACGAGTTGGACAACGTCCAAATTTATTTCATCACCGGTATTGGCAGGTTTTGGGTAAATAATTGAAGATTCCTGATGAATTCCATCAAGGAGCATATCAACTGCAGATTTTGTACGTCCAGAAACACAAATCAGGTAAGGAATTTTAAGCTCTGATACATTATTCTCAACGCGTTTTCTAGCCAGAAGATCTTCAGGTGATTTTAATAAAACGTGCACGTTTGCACCTCCAAAACCAAAGCTGTTAATACCAACATACCCTGTAAGTGAAAAAAATCAAGACTCTGATGTAGCAGTTTAGTTTTGGGGGTTTTTAGTTTAGGGTATTTGAGAACTTACCTCCATCAAAATCTTGTGGTTCAGTCACGACTTGCATTCTGCCTTCAACAATAGCAGTCAATTCCTTTTTAGGTGTTTCGAAATGAAGATTTGGTGGAATTTTTCCTGTTTCCATAGCTATGCACACTTTGACAACAGAAGATATACCTGATGCCGGTTCTCCATGTCCAATGTTAGATTTCACAGATCCAATGGGAAGAGGTTTGTCACGACCAGTGCAGAATATCTAGTAAAAATTGAAGTATTAATTCTTACAGTCGTATGCTTCAAGCTTCCAGGTAATATTTTCAATTCTAAATATTAATCTTTCGTTATTTGATCTCTTACCTCATCTAAAGCTCTAATCTCCTCTGGATCTCCAACTCTTGTACCAGTTCCATGAGCTTCCATAAATGTGACTTTTCTAGGATCTACCTCACATTCTTGATAGGCTTCTCGTAGAAGTCTAGCTTGCATTGTTCCTGATGGAAAAGTGATGCCTTGTTCTTTGTAACCATCACAATTTGATTTGGCGTGGACAAGTTGTGCGTAGATTCTTTTTGCATCTTTTGCCTGTTGGAGGAGGATGAAGGAAACGCCTTCACTGCGGGCGTAACCGCGGGCACGTTCGTCAAAACACCTTGAGGAAGAAAAAGGCTATGACTATTGAAAAATGTATTTGGAAGGAGTGGTACTCCTTCACTAAATATTACTGAGTAAAATATAACATAACAGATCTGTAATAAAAAATATAAATTGGCAATGGCAAACAAATCATTGCTTTGGCAAACCAATTATATATTATTCTAAATAAAAACCAATTAAGATCACTTAAAACTTAATAATTACGTTTTACTTCAAAGGTTGTTAGGATGTATATCTACCTGCATTTTCCGTCCGGATTTAGTACTCCCAATCTTGAGAATTGTAAGGACACAAATGGATGTAAACATAAATTGGCACCTCCAATTAGAGCCTGGTCGCAATAACCATTCCTGATAGCTCTGTATCCATGCTCCAGAGCCATCAAACTGCTGCTGCATGCACTGTCCACAGAATAAGAAGGGCCTAGATACAAATATTATATAAATTATAATAGTATTTTTATAAAAATAGCACACAGGATCCTGCAAATGAATTTCTGAAATATTACTTTTAACAATACTTTTATTGTGCTACGTGAAATTGAGAGTGCAATTATTGCATAACAATTAAACAAAATAAAATAATTATAAGAATATTAAAAGTTAACTAAGAGTATTTTGCAGAATATAGAATTGGAAGTGTGATTCCAAGCTGAACAAAAAGCTTAAAAAAATATATACAACTTTTTTACTATACGACCCTATTTAAAGAATCAATGAAAATCCACATATTCTTTCAATTTATGTGTAATTTAATTACAAAACTAATTATTTACACTAGATATATTATTTAACAATTGCAACAGAAATTTTAACTATAGTATTGAAAAAAACACTAGTAAACAAAAAATAGAATCAGGTATCAGTTATTATCTTTGTCCAAAAGCAACTGTTCATTATTTAAGGGGCACAACTAGTGTGAAATTTTCAAAAAATCGAATTTTCAATTTTTCTATATTTCGATAGGTTTAAAAATAACATAACAAAATAACAATTAAATCGATATCTCAAATAGTTTTTGAGTCACTGCCATTTAAAGAGTATACTCGTATATATATATAGTATATAGTATAACGATCATTTAATCTTTAAACGCGTTTTTTTCGAAACAGCATTTTCCGAATTTGCTGCAGCGATTACTCAGAAACAAATGATCCAATCACTATCAAATTTTTTTTACATGTTTTATCAAATCTATATAGTTCTCTGTAAAATCAACTATCGGTTTTTTGATCGGATCAAAAATCGAATTTTGGTAGTCCAAAAACGACCAAAATTTTGGGTAAAATTCAACTTTTTTTTGAAAAACGCCGTCATTTTGTCATTTTTTTATTTTTTTTCTTTATCGAGTTCATTTTACAGACAATATTATCTAATTTAACGAGATTTTTTTTTTTAATTTCATCCGCGTTCATCCACAGAAGGCCGGAATCACTGCAGCAGTGAAGGGCCTTTTTTGTCGCGCCGTTGGAGATCGGCGATAACTTAAAAAATATTTATTTTTTTTCTTCAAAAATGTTATTAAGTATTCTTAAAATATGTATAAATATATTCCTAAAATTGTGAAATGATTGATAAAGTAGTTTTTTTAATATAAATTCCCAAAAATCACATTTTTTTAGGCGGTTACACTAGTTGTGCCCCTTAATGTTTTCATAGATTTTTTCAAAGATTAATCTGTATAAATATAATAAATTTAATTTAAGAACCCAATCTTTACTATTAAAAAATGGTAAAAATTTGTTAGTAAAAAAAATTATACTGTAAATAAAAATTTACATCCGTATTTTAAAAAATAGAAAATAAATTAAATTTCTACATTTAATCCGTAGAAATATCACAAATTGACTGATCATATGTTAAAATTAATCATATTTTCATCATTACAAAAATTATGTTAAAAAAAGGTCAGTGACATATGCATGTAATATAATCGCTGATTTTAGTTTATTAGGTCTGTGGTGTTCTATGTCACCATACGATGACACATTTTTCATATACTTGCAAGTTGCAATTGTAACAGAAATTTCACGCCAGAAAATTTTAACGAATGTAACGCCAATATTAGTTTAAAAGCTTACTGTAAAACTAATTAATTGAGAAGATTACATTATTATAGATTTGTAAAATACCTAGCAAGTTTGTCCAAACAGTTTTTAATAAAGTTTTCCTGACAACATGTTTAATTTGTTTTGGAGGTAAATTAAATGTTAACCCCCTCGACTCGAATGCCGCCGCTCCGGCGGCAAATTTATATAAATCTTGCAGTTCGCGAGTGAAAAGGGTTAACACTGAACAAATGTACAAGATATGTCTATCAGTTTACTTCAAATACTTTAATAAATATTATCTTCATTACCTGATAACTCGAGCCAATTCGAGACACGATTAGCCAGCATGGACCTGCTGCAGCCCAAAATACCAGAACCGTGCTGCAGGTCGTAAATCCAAGTTTTTTCGGATTCACTGAAGCAGGCGCCAATAATTACACCAGTTCTAGAACCTTTTATTTCTTCTGGCTGTATACCAGCATCAATCAAAGTCTCCACGGCAACTTCCAGGAGAATACGAGCCAGAGGATCCATACTGTCGGCCTGAGAAAGGAAATTTGGATAAATTTGATAAATGATTGAAGAGAATTTTCTTAAAAGAATATGTCTAGCAACTCAAAATATTTTTACATTTTATAAAATTTTATTACATCGTGATGTAAATTTTATAACTAGTAATTATTACATAGTAAGTAGAAAATGAACTGAATCCCATGATTATAATAATGCCAAAACTAATTTAACCCTTTCGACTCGGATGCCGCCGTAGCGGCAGCAAAATACGTATAAAATACGAAATTCGCGAGTGGAAAGGGTTAATAATTTTCCATTAGATTTAGTACGTTTGATTAATGAATAATATGATATTTTTATATTTAAAATAAATTATGTATGCATAAAATAAAAGTGTTCCATTGCGTAACGGTTAATCGCACTGCCTTCCGTGGGCCTGATATCATGCAGTAGCGATGTCTATTTTTACTTGAAAATATAGATAAAAAAGATGTTTCCAATTGAAAATAATCCAATTAAAAATCGGGCACTGCGATGTGAAATGGCAATGGAAATTCTCTCACACCATTATTCACTGAATCGAGTTGGAGTTTAACTCAACTCATGGACCTGCCCTAAGGCATTACTATCCATTATTAATTATTATGTATAGAGTTGGAGTTTAACTCAACTCATGGACCTGCCCTAGGGCAATACTACTCATTATTATTTATTATGTATAGAATAATTGTTGTGATATTTTATGTAATTTATTACATATGTTTGTTCTATTTATTACTTTTTCATTACACTATTTTTACAATTATTATGTTATATTTATTATATTTTCCGTATGTTAACAATTAGGCTTGTGTGTGATATATTTACCTGTTGATCTTCTATTTTAAAGTAATCTGCATCGAACTTAGTGATTTCTAATAGTTTTCCTGTTCTTTGAGGAATTTCAGGATGATCCAAAAACCAACGTCTATCATCTCCTGAAACCATGTCGACCTAAATAATTGAAACAAATTAATAAAATTTATTAAAATTGTATGATAATTGTTGCTGAATCTTTCGGTTTTATTAATTATTAGACAGTTTTACAATGTAGAAATTTTAAATATTAAATTTTACAAAATTGTTGAAGAAAATTGTATATTTTCTGGTGTGATAATCATCAATACAAAGCGACATCAATTATTTTTACTCATCATCACAATATAATAATAAATTATTACTTAGTACAGATACATAGTATAGAAATCCAAGAATGTTAAATGTAAAAAACTTAAGAATATATTTATAATAACACTAATAATATAAACCAAATTTCAAATCAAACCAAACTTCATTAAAATTCGAATAAGATTTTCTAAAAATATATAAAAAATTAAGTTCTGAACAGTTGAATTCTTTGTTCGGATAAATGTTTATAAGAATTTTGCACAGTCTCATTTATTGGTAAAATCTCAAAAACTTAGAAAAATATTTTAAACGTGATATTAAAATATCACTAAAAAATTCTTCAATTTACATAGATCAAATATTAACAATCGACCTCATATAGTTCCTTTAGCACTTTATACAACTCTAAAACAACCGGACCTGCCTTCAACAAAAACAGTTGGGCTCTAGGCATAATCAGAACAAATCAAATCCTTATTTTTGTTGAATCCTTTCATACAAACATACATCCCAAGACACTTTAATTAATTACATTTCTAGTTCTGAATCACGACTATCAAGACCTGATAGTCCTGATTCAGGATCAGGACTGATATTTTCCAATATCAGTCATTTTCATTGTGCTAGCGAAAATTCACAATAAATTTATTATATTTATACAATGTTTACCTTGTTCAACAAATTTTCCTTAAAGTGCAAGACACTGGAGCTGTCTGGAAAACGTCCAGACATTCCAGAGATGACTACTTCTTCGCCTGGTGCTTGCGGCTGGACAATCACGGTGCTCGTTGGTTCTTCCGGCATTTTGGGCAATGTCTGGTTGTCGGCTGAGACTTTGAAAATAGAAAATAAATGATACTAAAGATTTAATTGGAAATTATGACGTATGTTAGCTACTAGTACTATTTATAGTACAGCATAATAAATTTTTAGTATTTAATGTGTGAATTCTTTATAAATTTGTTATTAAATTTCTATCAGAATAAATCATTTTTTTATTCCAGTGAATAAGTGGTCAAGTCAAAGCAATAATTTTCTAGGTTTAATTTAGATTAAAATAAATCATACAGGCCAGTAATGTATTACGTTGTGCTGTAAATTGAGAAAGTACTAATGCTTCTGTTAATTTGGATGAATCAAAAGTCTTTATTGATAATACGGAAATTTAAGTTAGAGAAACAAATACTATGCAACCACACATCAAAAATCGGAAATAAACGGCATTGATTTATACAACTTTCGAATTTCCGAATTTTTGAAGCTTCGATTTGCAAAAAAATGTAAAGTTCGTTCAGCAAAAATTCCAAATTTACGTGAAAGTTTTAATTCAATCTAATTCTATTCTAACATATCACTCATTAATTGCCAAAATTTTCATTATCACACATTAAGTTGAAAATTTTAATTTTTAATTTTCAGACACAAAACTTTAAGAATGAAAAAAACACAATAATTTAATATGTATGCAAACTTAAATTAGATTTATTTATTAAAAATATTTGAAAGTAGAGGGTTAACAATGTGTAACCAGCCCTTGATTCCTGTGACGTCGCCACCAGAAAATAAACGACATTGTTTGAAAATCCATAACATATAAAGTGTTTTCTTTCGTTGTTAGTTTTTTGGTTGTGAGCACTGTTGTTTAGTTTACGAGACCATAATTAAATTTTTAAGTATACGTTATTTAATTGTTTCATAATATATATTGTTAATTTTAAAATAGATTCAACAGTTTATTTTAAAATTCAACAGTTTATTTTAAAACCTCTGTAAAAGCTTACACCTGGGTGGGGTAAAAAAAAACAACTGAAACTTTACTCTGGCAAAGGTGTATACTATGAGAAAGTAGTAAATAAAAAAATAAATTAAGTTAAATAAGCAATACAAAAGATAAATTAAATAAATAGCTATTTCAACTATGCTGATGAATGTTTCTGACAAAATACCAGATCAAGGTTATATACAGTGTTATCTTTGCGAAAAATGTACCCATAAAATTTATATTTTGCATTGATTGAATAATGTAGCTATTATTTCACAAAATCCCTTCAACTAAAATACATTGGATCTGCTCGTTCCCCGGCTATCCCATTGTAACCCGCCCATGGGGTAAAAAGGACCAAGTGATAAATTTTTGAAAAAAAATTTAAAATATAAATACGTCTCTACAATGATGAATTAGCTGAGTAGTTTTACTGAACATAGTCCGACAGTTGTTTGTTTGATGTGTATTTTTTATGGTATAATTGGTTTGGTTTTCACAATTTGATTTCTCAAAGTTGAATTAGACCTTTGTGCCCCGACCTACCCTATTCGTTTAATTCAAGACTTAAAATAATAAAATTGATTTCACTTATATTCCAAAAGATTTTTTAGCGGTACTATAATATCGACACTTATAAAAACGAGCCATTATAAAATAAATAGTTCCAAAATAATATAATAAAATTATCAAAAACTTACAAAATTTGAAATCCACTTAACGTCCTCAGCGTTGCTGTGTTCACAGAATCGCAAAAACGATTTTCAGAATTATTTTACCCAACTGCACTGTATGTATCCAATAAAATAGTAGATCAAAACCTTCAATAAATCTAAAATAATCGACAACAATCATTTATATATAAAACACCGTACATTGCGAATTACCATAAATTCAAATTCGACGATTTTAATTTAGAATGAAGTTAATCTCCCCATTATGTATTGGAAAAAATGTTCTGTGGACAATAAAAGAGGTCGATAACTCGCAATGAAATTTATTCAAGAAAAGAAAATGAATTAAACGTGTAAAATAATAGATGTACGTAGGCCGAGAGTTGGAGGATATTATTTAGGAATAGAAAGGAATATTTGAAATCCTTTTTAACTTTTCAGTTTATGCCAGAAAATCCGATTCGCTAATACATTGGTATAAATAAAAATAAAACGAAAATTTTCATTTAAATTTTTAATTTCCACTCATTTAAATTTCCATTTCAAGAACTAACTAGTGGGGCGCATGGCATCGTGCCTTAAGGCAAATAGCTGGAACTTTCCGTACCAAATATTTTTGAAAAAAATTTACTTTGAAAAAATTAGATTTTTGAGAAACTTTAAATTTTTGTCAACAATTTACTTTTTTAGAAAAAAATGACCTTTTGAAAAAAAATGTTTTCGTTATTTTGAAATATTTCCATTCTTAACTTTTTTCAAAGCTTTAACTGCATAGAGACAAAATATCGAAGCGCGTAAGCGCCGAGTCGCCGCCTAACGGATAAACATTGGTACGGAACCCATAGGAATGTAAACAAAATTTATACTTATTGTTAAAATCTTTAAAAAATATCTGATAATTTGATGTGCATGTGTCTAATGATCATTTTTGACCGCCAAATGGCATTTTTTTTTACTTTTTTCACTAGATCTCCGAAACCGCTAGACCTGCTTTTATGAAAATTTGATCAATTCTTGACCTTGTTCATACAAGTAAAATGTTTTTTGAATTATTAAACTCAGACGCTCCGTTCTCTTAAAACCTGAGCTACCGTTTGTGGCACTTTTTGCCCCTTATCTTCGAAACGGCTAGACCTGATTATGCCAAAAACTAATCAGCACGTCTCTTATCAACAGCAATCGAATGTTTTTTGAATAACTGAAATCGGTTGAACCGTGTTTCCAAAATCGTCGACAAAAATTTGTATCCGCACACACACACACATACATCCATTTTTTTCTAATTTTAAGGTATGCCAAAATGCTGAAACGTAAAGATATATAAACAATTTCATTTTCGATTTTTTTGCGATTACTATACCTTACCCGACGGGAAGTTAATTAGTGACATTCAAGAACTCAATCAAGATTTTTAAGAACTAATTAGTGGTGCGTGGCATCGTGTGTTAAGGCAAATTTTGCTGGAACTTCACGTATCAAAAATTATTTTGAGAATTTTTGAATAAAAATGACTTTTTTGTAATTTTTTGATTTTATCTATATTTTAATAATTTTAATTTTTTTTTCGAAGCAATCGCGCTGCGTAGCTGTTTTAGTGACAATATAAAGAAGCGGGTAAGCTTCTTCATCTTTAAAAAATATCTCTAAAAAAATCTCTATAAAATATCTGATAATTTAATGTGCATATTTGATCATTTTTGATCCAAATATATCAAAATGGCATTTTAGATCCACAAAACCGCTGGACCTGCCATTTTCAAAAATGTATTCAATTCTGTTCTCTTAAAAACTAAATTGCCATTTCTGGTGCTTTTTGCCAAGTATCTTCGAAACTATTGGACCTGAAGTGGCCAAAAACTAATCAGCACGTCTCCCCCTCAATACAAATCGAATGATTTTTGAATAATTCAAATCGGCCAATGCTCTCACACACATAAACACTTACAAATATACTTCCATTTTTTCTAAGGTATGCCAAAATGTTCACAATGTTTTGAAACGTGAAGATATAAAAAAAAATCATTTTTGATTTTTGCGTTTCAATAAATTATCGTAAGAAAGGCAGGTCTAGCGGTTTCGGACATCCAATAAAAAAGTAAAAAATGCCATTAAAATCTTTTTACCCCATATGCGGGGTAAAATGAGACGGCCTAATAGCAAACACGTCCAATGTGTTATTTTTAATTTTAAAGGGATTTTACGAAATAATAGCTACGTTTCGCAACCATTGCAAAATATAAATTTCATGGAAACATTTTTACAGAGATAACAGTGTTTTCATAACACTGTATGTAACCTTGATCTGGCATTTCGTCAGAAATATTCATCAGCAGATTTAGAATAACTATTATATTAATTTATTTCTTGTAAAGCTTTTTTAACTGAATTTTCATTTTTATTTACTTTTTTGCGAGGGTAAAGGTTCAGTTAGTCCTTCTTACCCCACTCACGTGTAAGCTTTTATAGTGATTATTCAAAAAAACTGATAAATCTAGCCTAAAATTAACAATACATCTGATAAAACAATTAAATAACGTATACTTAAAAATTATATTAAAGTCTCGTAAACTAAACAACGGCGCTCACAACCAAAACAAATAACAACGAAAGAAAATATTTTGAATAATAATATTTAAACACTGCCGTTTATCTCATGATAGTGTGGTCGTAAGAATTAAGGCGATGTCTGGTTATGGATTTTTTACCACCTACTTTCAAATATTATTAGAAAATTCTTTAATTTACTTGTTTTTGATATATCGGTGGTAGCCCTTTTTACTTACGGACCTTCAAGCCCCGTTCTACTCCATGTAGTAATTTACAAAAACAGTGTTTTTCAGCCTTCTTTCAACAGGAATAAATTTAGGAAGAAAAAACATCAAGTGAAAATGAATTTTTTTTCTAATATTATATGCAAAATGAAAAATGTAAAAAAAATATTTATGCAAGTAATTATTTAATAAGTAAAAAAGAAAGCCATTTCATTACTTTTATCATATGTAAAATAAAAAATGTAAACAAAATTATATATGTAAATATATAGCCTTCTAATCTATCTAATACATGTATATGAATCAAATAAAGATTCTTTCATTTTTGTTTGATATTGTCTTGGAAAACATATATTTCAATATCTAAATTAACTAACTAATATGTATATATATATATATATATATATATATATATATATATAGCAATAATTAACTATAACTGTTAGACAGATATATCCATCAATGTGTTCAATCAGCAATTTGAATAAAATTTAATTATGCTTAGTTTGCTGTCATTACTTTACGAATTTGGTTCACATTTAATCGATTTAAATAATTCGCATTTTTATTAGGTCAAATGTACACAAGTTTCTTGTA